AGCCCGGGGAGAGGGGTCAGCAGCTGCTGGAGGTTGAGGAGGGGGGTTAGCAGCTCTGGGAGGGGGGAATAGCTGGATGTGGGTGCAGTTAGGCATATGAAGGACCAGTCCACCAGTCTCTCCTTCCCACCCCCATCAGAGAGAGGCAGCAAGGTAGGGAAGAGGAGGGAATACTTGAAAGCCACATTGTTGTTTGAAGTCTAGGGCCAGACCTCGGGCTCCATGCAGTGCTGCCACTTTGAAACACCATATGCAGCTTGGGGCTAGCTGGGGGACGCCATATTGGCTCCATGCAGTGCTGCCGCTCTGAAATGCATCAGAGAGCCTAGTATCAGGCTGCACCTGGCATTTCAAAGTGGCAGTGTTGCACGGAGCCCAGGGTCAGTGGGTAAGTCTGCAACTGACCTTGGATTCCATGCAGTGCTTTTGCCTTTGAAGTGTAGCAACAGTCCTAGGGTTGTTGCTACACTTCACAGCAGAGATCCCCTATTGACTAATCAAATTGTCAATATTTAACATCCTTAACTAGGAGGTAGGAGAGCTTAGCTTCTCCAGGAGAGGGAGGTAGCTGGAGGTCAAGGTAGCAGCTCCATCCGAGTGGGTACCTTGAGGAGGGGAGGGGATTAGTTGCTCTGCAAGAGGAGGGATAGTTCTTGGGGGATCAGGAGATTACTGGCTCCCTTTATATCCCCCATTTTCTGTCCATAGTTTAATAGCTCCTTATTTAGGGGGGTTTTTTCCTCATCAACAGAAACTTCAGAACAAACTTTTCTGCTGATGAATATACACCCTCTATAATGCTCATTTGAACTGTGTTTCTTCCATCCCACCAGTTTCCCTGTTGCTTTCTCAATTTCCTGCCAAACTTGTTTTAAAACCCTTTTGTTTGGGGCCACAAGACAATTGGGGCTTGCTTTACATTGCTTGTAACCATTCTCTAGAGCATTAATGTAACAGCAATGGATGCTTTAAGCAGTGGTGTAGATAATTATAAAAATCTACTGTATGATTTTAGGATGTTGTGAAGAAAGTCCCTGAGTAGTAAGGATGTTAAAATGCAGTTATCAGACTAATTGTATAGTTGATAGGACCACTCTGCAGAGCCGCAGCGGGGGTAGCTTCAGGAGCTGGCTCGAGCTGGGACTGAGCAGTCCTGTTTCATACTGGCTCCAGGAGCCACCCATGCTGCAGCTCTGTATTTTAAATGTAGTGAGAGCTGTTGGGAGCTGGGTCCTCCAACAGTCAAAGGCTGTTTTCACAGCAACCATGCCTATTCCTCTAGAAGCAGGGGGTGGTGGGGGAGCAGGCTGCACCTTGGAGACAATGCTGTGGGGAAATGGCTTTTAAGAAGGCTGCCCCCAGTACCGATTCCTGCCCCCCCTTTGCTGCCTCCCATAGAGCAAGGGAGGGGCACTGCAGGGAGCACAGGGCCAGCTGGAACTCAAGTAGTACAGGCAGTCCCCGACTTACGCGGATCCGACTTATGTCAGATCCGCACTTACGAACGGGGCTTTCTCGCCCCGGAGGTCGAGGTGGCGGATTGCTGCCTGCGAGCTCCGGGGCGAGAGAGCCCCGTTC